GTCGCCCGTCTAGACCTTACACTTTTTTTTTTAATTTCATCTGTCTTCAGTGAAGGGAGGCCATTATTTATTTTGATGCTGTCAAATAGATGAAAATTTTGTTTTATATTATATTTTAAAAAGTTGTGTAGCCATGTGTTGCAGTGCACTCAGGTGCCCTGCGCCTGAGAGTGGAGACTGCTCTGGGGAGACCCCTAGTGGCAGAAAGGGGGAGGCTCAGCTGCCAGTCACCAGGGCTGCACAGGTGCTGGTTGCCGGGGCAACTGGTAAAACCAGCTGACCAGGAAGGGGCAGGGCTTATCCCTTCTTAAGCCCAGGTAGGAGGCCAGTCCCTCTCCAGCAGCTGTGGGAGTAGGGACTCAGCAGTGGACAGGCAGAGGGGGAGGACTCTGGCTGTGAGAGCATCCCCTGGTCACTGCTGAGGTTGGTGGAGCCCTTCTTCCCTCGCTCTCTAGTAGGGAGTAGATTTTTGTTCGACCGGACAGTCTAATTTTTATGTTGTAGCCCAGGGGCTTTATGTTTTATATTTGCGGTTTTAACCGGAGGACCGGGTGAGGCTATTAGGGGTGGAGGAGGCCTCATAGGAGCTCCACAGTAGCGGGGGGCCTTCTGGTGCCAGAGAGGGCGCAGCTTTGTTAGGGGGCAGCGAGAAGCCCTGGAGCTAGGGGAGGTTGGCGAGGAGCCCCAGAGTGAGCGAGAGAAGGGGGCAGCGAGGAGCCTCGGGAGTAAAGAGGAGGGCCAGAAACCAACAAGGACCAGGTCAAACCATGTCAACTCCATCTGCGAGGCTTGGGCTGCGGTGTAAGGGAGGAAAAGGAGCTGCAGGTAGCGCCCCCTGTCACCGGGGCGCGGAAAAATGGGCAGCCTCCCACTGATTACAACCATCTTCTAATCAAGTAAGATCAAGGTGTGGCAGGCGAGTAAGCAGGCGGTTGGTCCATTACAGGAGGGTGGAGCCACTCCCAAAAAGGCTCCAATATTGATACTCCTGTCACACCATGTCATTTAAAAAGGTTCACTCTTGTATTTATGTATACTGGGATAATAATATACTAGCCTGATGAAAAATGATGTCAAGGGAAGTGGGAAGAAAATCTCAGACTAAAATTGCTTAAATTTGTAGAGGAAATACACATTTTTGGTATTTGTAAATATACTAGTTGTTTGCATGTGACTTTTTTTTCCTTAACTTTTGGATTGTTATGCAGGCATGCTTTTTGTTCCACAACGCTTCCTCTGCCTTGGCATTAGAACACAACTACTGAAGACAGTTTCTTCTTTAAGATCCTTCAGATTTTCAGCCCTTGCTGTACGTATTCGATCATTTCATAGATTACAGTATATGTATGCCATGCAGTATTTATTTAGAGAAGTACTAAGTTTTTGATGCTGCCAATAAGCATATATTAGATTGGATGTCTGTTTTGGTTTAGTTCACTAAATCAATAAAAAAAAAATGAATGTTTGCCTGGCAGTTGGAAATTCATCCATCCTCAGTGAGAAAGTACACAAAGCATTATTGCCTGTTATGCTAATCTCAGACATTTGATATGAAGACTGTAAAACATTTTTGTTCCAATCAATCACAGATTAAATCATGCTGCTATTATAATATCGATTATTGCCCTGCATTTCTGTTTTGATCTTTAAAAGTAGTGTTAATGGACACTGGGGAGAATGGACAGTCTAGTTGCTAGGGCACAGGCCAGGAATGCAGGTGCACAAGGGAGACTTGTCCCCAGGGAAACACATGTTCACACTTGCGGGGAAGATCCAGTAGGCTTAATACTGATGGAAGCAAGTATTTATACTAAATGCACAGACTGGGTATGGTAGCACTGGAGTGACGTTGTAACCATAATGGTCCAGGAATTACGTGAGAGGCAAGGATTTCTGTGGGTGATGCTTTTTATTGAACCAACTGCATGTTTGGGATAAAGTTAGACAAGCTTTTGAATACAATATGGAATTCATACTATAAGCTATTAATGAAGCCAAGACCTTTACCAGATCCAGAAAAAGGTTAGATTTCTGTATGATCCATTAGAATATTTGGGGAAATTTAATAGGATATAAGATAGTTAAGTCATCTAAACAGACTGGGTCAGGGTATAAACAGACCTCCAAATTAGCATAGCTCCGGCCAGCCAGGCTCTGGTTTTGAACAGTGTGCACTGCCGCCCTGTGTGCCACTCCGTTGTTGGTTTTTTTTTTTTTTTTTTTTTTTTTTTTTTTCCTTGGGGG